CACTTGTAGATAGCAAGCGAAGGCTACCAGGAGGCAGAAGAGTAGACATCTACATCTTTTGCACCCAAAAGGAACGTCAGGGTCAAGAGGCGTTGCCGAAGCTTGCTCCGCCCTATCAATGAGGCTTTTCGAGATCGCGACCAGCGGGCCGTCCCCGGCCCCGTTCTTGTCGATCTCCCGAAAGGATGTTACCGCTGGTATCCTGAGGAGAGCCATTTCCTACCGAGTCCGCCATTCCCTCGCTGCCCAGCGCTGCGACGAGAGCTGCCATGAGCCTGAGCAGGAAGCAGCTCACCGCCTCGGTGAAGCGCGTCGCCGACCTCATCAACATTGCGAAGAAGCCCATCATCTACGCTGGCCAGGGTGTCATTCTGTCCGAGAACGGCCCCGAAATTCTCAAGGAGCTCGCTGACAAGGCCTCCATCCCCGTCACCACGACCCTGCACGGTCTGGGTGGCTTCGACGAGCTGGACGAGAAGTCGTTGCACATGCTTGGTATGCACGGTACCGCCTATGCCAACATGGCCATGCAGGAGGCCGACCTGATCATCGCCCTTGGCGCCCGTTTCGACGATCGCGTCACCCTGAACGTCGGCAAGTTCGCCCCTGGCGCCAAGGCTGCCGCTGCCGAGGGCCGTGGTGGTATTGTTCACTTTGAGATCATGCCCAAGAACATCAACAAGGTCGTTCAAGCCGTTGAGGCTGTCGAGGGTGATGTCGCCACCAATGTCTCCATGATGCTGCCTCACGTTGAGATCCGCTCCATGGCCGACCGTAGTGCTTGGTTCGACAAGATCAACGGCTGGAAGAAGCGCTGGCCCCTGTCCGACTACGAGCGCACCGAGCGTGGTGGTCTCATCAAGCCCCAGACCCTGATCGAGGAGCTCAGCAAGATGACGGCTGATCGCAAAGACAACACCTACATCACCACCGGTGTCGGTCAGCACCAGATGTGGACCGCTCAGCACTTCCGCTGGCGCCACCCCCGTTCCATGATCACTTCTGGTGGTCTTGGCACCATGGGCTTCGGCCTGCCGGCCGCTATTGGCGCCAAGGTCGCCCAGCCTGACGCCCTCGTCATCGACATTGATGGTGATGCCTCCTTCAACATGACCCTGACCGAGCTGTCCACCGCTGCGCAGTTCAACATTGGCGTCAAGGTCATCGTTCTGAACAACGAGGAGCAGGGCATGGTCACGCAATGGCAGAACCTCTTCTATGAGGACCGTTACGCCCACACCCACTCGGTCAACCCCGACTTCCAGAAGCTTTCGGACGCCATGGGAGTTCAGAGCCGCCGCCTGGAGAAGCCGGAGGAGATCCAGGAGGCCCTGCGCTGGCTCATCGAGAGCGACGGACCCGCTCTCCTCGAGGTTGTCACGGACCGCAAGGGGCCGGTTCTGCCAATGGTGCCTAGCGGCTCCGGCCTGCACGAGTTCCTGACCTGGGACAGTGAGAGGGACGTGCAGAGGCGCAAGATGATGCGCGAGAGGACTGGCGGCAGACACGGCTAAATATGTCATGTTTGATCTTTTCCGTCTTCGGCACTTATTTTGGGCTTCTCTCCGGCGTCTACTCATTCTTTTTTTTTTTTCACCATGTGTTCTTGGTTAGCATATACCACCACGTCGCCCCTGTTCCGAGAAAGGGGTACGTATGCTGGGGATGGACTGTGCAGGGCCCTTCGTGATGGAAGGGAGGGTTGAAAAACAAAAGTCCTTTTTCTCATGGCCTTGTTGATTTCGGCCAGTGATTGCCGCGCGCATGCGAGATAAGGCGATGTGTTTGTAGGAAAAGTCGGCGAAGGGAATGCAAAAACTGTAAAACACTGAATTGTGTGCCACGATGCTTGTGACGATGGAGATGGGCACGTAACAAATACCAGCCATGTGGCTTGTCGGCTTGGGCTCACATGCCTGACGACAATGTCCTTGCTGCATTGAGAATTCGTCTCATCATTGCGAGACCAACTGAGACCCATTCTCCTGTCGAACACCATGTCATGGCGAAAGATGCACACGAAAAAACTGCCAGCTGCCCATATTCTGGGCAAGATATGGCTTTGGTTCGGCTTAGACCCCGATCTAACCTGAAGCAGCGTTTGACTTTGTCTAGTAGTAGATGATGTCGTGCAAGTCCACCATGCCATCTTCGCATGTACTAAGACACCAAGCCTTGACAGCTTAAAGCTCGGGTCTTAGCTGCTGACCCAGCTACTCCTTCCTCGCAGTTCTCCAGCCGGTCAACCCTTCACCCCCAAGAAACCAGTTCATCCCCGTTGACCCCGGCCCCGAGCTTTGAATCTGATCACACACCATGTCGCGGTCCGTACCCTATCTGACAGCGGTCGCTACCGGCGTCATCGGCGCAGCTTGGACCTCTGGTACGTTATCGTTGCTCCATCCCCGCACTTCCGTCCGAGAGAAGACGGCCCACCCCGCTGACACACCGTCCAGGCGCCATCGCCGGCCTCTCCATCATCGGCTGCCCGGCAGCCCTCGACTTCCCGCACCACCTCTCGGCTGGCGTCTGGCGAGGCTTGTATGAGCACGGCCTTGCTGCCATGCCCAAGTTTGCCGCCACCACGGCGGCCGTGTACCTGTACGCCGCCTTCGAGGGCCGGCGGCGCACCACCACCAGCAGCGGCGCGGCAAGGGGAATGCCTTTCTCGGCTTCGTCGCCGCCGCGGCCGCTCACCGTGTCGATCGTCCCTTTTACCGTTGCCTTCATGAGCGAGACGAACCGGGAGCTCCTCCTTGCTGCTGGGGATCCGAGCCCCGCAGCAGGCGACGGAGAGGATCGTTGAGCTGATTGGGACCTGGAAGGCGCTTAACCTTGGGAGGAGCTTGCTGCCTCTGGCTGGCGCTGTTGTTGGAGCGTTGTCTTTCTTCAACACCCCTTGATTGCCGGCATGATGAAGATGCTGGGCTGCATTGGGAGGGCGGGAGAAGTGATGCTGTTTCCGCAATGGAGATGTTGGCCTGGGTCTCAAGACAAGTAATCGAAGCCGGACAGGGCTCTCGACCCAGTCTGTATTGAATGTCTAAACTTGGACCTCTAATAAGTTGCATGGGAATGCCGTGATGTCCTCTATCAAATGTCATGGTTCGGTGCAAGACTCACTCCCTCTCAGGTCATGGTTCGGTGCAAGACTCACTCCCTCTCAGGTGCGAGGCAGATGAACGCGTCGCTCTGGTTCTTGACACACGTGCGCTCAATTCGGCACATAAGACTTGTAGAACGAGGCTTCAGAAGGGACCATCTCGGACAGTCATACAATGGAGTCGCACCCTCCCCCTCCGATTGTTGACGGCTCGTGTGCAGGCTTTCCTGCTGGCCTTGAGCTTCAAGTGAATTCGAAGTTCCCAGATGTGAGGAATGTCTCGTCCGAAAGCACGGACCAAATACAGATCATAGCTGTGGACCATGGAACTATATATTATCGCTTCATCCCTGGTCATCAACGTCACAAGCAGCCTGTGTTCCAGTCATCAATTGTCGAAGTACATCGATAGCTCTAATGGCTGATTTTGAGCCTCGTTTCTCATTGCTGAAGGTCCTTGGTGGCTGGGGCACAGTCAGGTCAGTTCAATCGACCAAGCGCAGCATGGCATACGCTAACCATAGGCGACCAGTGGTCCTGGTTTATTGTACGTGGCAGATCAGTACCTATGCTGTTTTCACTCAGAGATATTCCGCTCACACAGTACTCCAGCATGATGCGCAGCATGATATCAGGCACATCAACTGCTGCAGTTATCGGGGTGGCTAGTGCGATGGCAGGCAGCGTCATCTGGGGCACAGCCGCCATACCTTTCATGGTCGGGTCCAGTATGGGGTTCGCCATCGGCAGCTTCAGATGGTATCACGTCTCGCTTCTCGAGGCGTTGGTGCAGCTGAGGAAGCACCCAGCCCTGCTACGACTACACATTACCTCCAACTTCCCTTGGGTTGCGCAGCTTCATGCTCATGATGTCGGATGGTTCACTGCGGAAAGGTTCACGTCGTCGTGGCTGCTCAAGAGCATGCTGGTCGTGGGCTGGTTGTCGGCTGAGCCTGCATTGCGGGAGATCAGGGACCGCCAGGAGGCTATGCTCGTTGATCGTTATGTCGCGCTCGGGATGGGAAAGGTGGATTTCGGGTCAGAAAAACTCGAAGAGTAGCCTTGCTAAGCTGTACCACAACGGCTCCAGGACCACTGCGTTGTTCTCTATTGTTCAAGAAAGGTTGCATTATTTCGAGTATTAATTTTTCTAGTCACTAGTCTTGTATAAATTTCATGGCACTTTTCTGCATCACAAACCCAAGCATGTTACATAACTAAGGTAAGCAAGATTAGAGCATCAGGGTGAACAATGAGTCTGATCGGAACAATAAGCGAAGAGAGCATTTCTGCAATGATGGGTATAGAATGGGCTGATATTGAGTCTCAAACAGTCAATCTATAACCTCTCCTTTTTGCCGTTGCAAAATTCCAACATCCGAGACAAGCCTGCCGGACCAGCCAGCCAGCCAGCCAGACGCAACTTTCTGATTCCAGGTCAGTTCTAGAGCCTCGCTTGCAGTTTTCTGATTGATAGCCCATACCTAGCACCTAGTGTTGGTGCGGATGAGGGTGCATCCGGCTATGCCTGGGCTGCACGAGTTATAATGGCAATAGCCGTTGTAGCACAGGTAACCGGCTCCACAGCCTCTCTTCTCGAGATCTTCTCCGCGGGTCTCCGCCTGAACGGCAGGCGCGGCCGCAGCTAGGCCAGTAACGAGGAGAATGGCGGCGATGCTGAACTTCATCTTGTTGAGCTTGGATAACGCAGTTGACGATAACAGGTGAGGTATCTGATGGTGATGCAATTGTGTCTGAGTCTGAGTTGACGATCGAGCAGGACAACGAGCGGTCGAGGTCTCCTATTTATGTTTCTAATTTCCTAGCCACAAGTCATGCACATGGAGACACAATCCTGCCCTGGAAGAGTTTCCAAGGTGTCTTCAAGCCGCATAGGCTAACACTGGTCCCAGGAAAGGTGAGGCCTTCGCTGAGGGGCTGTATGTGGACCTTCAGCAATTAGCCGACGAGAACACTTGACGTGTCAAGGCATCACAATAGGCTGATCTTTTTCAGAAGCGCCGAAAGTGTTGCGATTCTGTCCAAAAAGTGGCAACATCGCTCTTCAGGAAATGGACAGGCTAATCTGTGATTTCTCGGCGCATTTCGTCCCAAAGCTTCACAAGCAGCAATAGCTGAAGGGATCCTATATATCATGCCCAGAAAATTTGGCCTTGCAGCTGTGGAATGAGCTTGGCGGTCTCGCTCGAAAAAAGTTTCCTGAAACGAAATAGCCGTTAATTGCCTAAACCTCAGTACTCATGGAGTCACGGACTGTCGTTTCAGGTAGTTCAGCTGTACGGCGCGGTTCCGCCAAGTCCGCTCTGTTTGCAGGTCACACAACATAGCATCTTTGCACAACACCGTCAACGTCGGTAGATGTCAATATTGTTGCACCAAAGTCAACACCGCCTTGGCGAAGAATCTAAATTTAATTATCAATGCTACCGAGCTGAGTCGCGATCTTTGTCAACCCAGCTCTTTAGACTTGCAGTGTTCATGATCTCACTGCGGTCGAGGCGAGATAACATGCTTGTGAAGTCTCGCATGTACTCAGCAGCCCGGCGGGAGGGTCCTTCGTGGGCTTCAAAGGGGCAGTTGAGGAGCGCCACTGCCACATCTCGGACCTTATACGCCTATGAAAAGGAAAAGTCAATCGCTAGTGTTATTGGCTTGACGCAAGAAAGAAGCGTAAGATGCACGCCGCACGGCTAGTCTTACCAAGTATAGTCCGTTCGGCTCAATATGTACTTGCTGAATGCTGTGCAGTAAGTGTAGCATCTGGCGGCAGATGTCCTCACGCGACACCCAATTAGCACGCAGGGCCGCAGACGCGGAGGCTGTATCTGATGTTACGTCGGTGTCTAATACCTGCTGCTGAAGTATCAAGTCGATCTTCTCGAGAAGGTAATTCTGCAGCCAAAGATGGGTGAAGTGCAGGTTGGCGCGGGTAATCTCTAGCTGGGCGTGAGCAACCTCGGGGGAGTCAACGTTCTTGCCAAATTTATCACGGGTCTGATGGACGTCCTCGGCGACAACCCATTGTCTCATTACGGCAGGTAGATCGTCAAGCATATACTCAAGTTTCTCGAGCAAAGTCTGCAATCGACCGAGGCGAGCCTCGGGTGCGCGCTTGGGGCTGCAGTCACAACTTTCGTGGAATAGTGCTTCCTGCATGGCGGTGAGGAACACCTGAGAGGCCGCAATAAAGGCGCTGATGCTCGTAAAAGGACGGTCTGTCCTGTCGTATGGCCGGCTGTTGCCAGTCAAGGGAGACGCCGGGTCCAGCGTTACAGAATCGAAGACGGTTTGCTCAGTGATCAACTCATCCTCAATGTCGAGGGGTACCAAGGCTGCGAAATTCACGTCTCGCAGGGTGTAATGGTCAAGAAAGGTCAGCTGCTCACGGCGTCCAACGTGTATTAGAGAATGCCTGGAGTGTCATGCAAGTTAGTCACGGATGCTGCGAAGCCTTGACACCGGGGTGGATGGACTCACGCGTATCCGTAAAATTGCAGCCAAAAAGCCTTCTTTCGTAGCTGCGTTTCAATGCAGTTCAAGCCCTCGTACTCCGAGATCCGATGAATGCCCAGGAGACGAGCGAATTGCGCCGCCTCCACCTCGAGCATGCGACTATGGTTTGACTGACCTGTCTGAAAGGTACCAATCGCCAAGCTGTAGCACACGGCCCATTTACGATGGGTAACATGGTCCCAATGGCCAGCCGAGCGCAGTCGCAGGCACATCTGCGCACAGTAGTCAATCATGGCACTACGTGTTGGGAAGCGGTCGACGAGCTCTGTGGCCACGGCTCGATAGTGGTCAAACCTGGACGGCAGCAGACCAATTGTGAGTGCTGTTATGCTCAGCACGAGGCGAAGAAACTCCGAGTCGGTAACATCTCGATCAGAGGCTAGCTCGGCTTTGAAGGTTGGGCGATGGACGACGGGAACTAGAGGATAGATGCGCTGGAGGTAGTCTTTCATAATTGTGTGAAAGAGTGGGCGAGGACATAGCTCGTCTGTTGGGTAGTGGAAGGCTCTCTCTGGAGCCAAGGGGCTTCGATGCGCAGACAAGGGGCTCCGGCGTGCAGACAGAGGGCTTCGAAGTGCAACCAAAGGCGAGGTGGTGAAGACATCTTGTCTGGGCGGCGCATCGTCGAACAGTCTCGTGCTCGTCGTGACAGACGGCGAGTCACTGTGAGCTGCGGGCGACACTCGTCGGCTGTGTGATCCGATGTTTAGCAACACATCTGAGACGAGCACTTGATTGACTTCACTTGCCGCTTCTTGGGTCCCCGAGTTCTTGTTGGGATGGCAAAGCTGCAAGGCAGGCCAAGCTTGATACACCCAGCACACTGGGGCGTCTGAATGCTACTTTGCGGAGAATCTTGCCCTACAGTGGACTCCTCCACAAAAATGCATCGCTTTCTTCGTGCGCGACAAGCATCGCATGCACGTGTGGCAATTTGTGCAGTCCTGCTCGCTGCGGCCGCTGTAACAACACTTCGACCTGGCGACGCTCCGGCGTTTCCTGTGTCGGAGGAATTCATCGCGTATGTAGCGCAGGATGGAGACAACGGGGGGGGGGGGATACGCCTTGCAGCATGAAGAAGACAAGGGAAAAGGCGGAGAAATATCATGTCTAAAAGATCAGCTAACCAGCCAGTACCGCCGCTCCTGAGTCATGACGGATCACGCGCGCACAGCACAACACTAGCTTGTTACATTGAGTCTAGAATCTGTTATTCTGGTCATTCAGTAGGGCGTTCTGGGTATTCTTCACTGATGCTGATGCCAGTACAGCTCCCGCGTATTCGGATCGGCCGAGGGCTGAGATTGTCTTGCTATGCGCTTTGACACATGAACACGAACAGGTTGTCCATCTTGCTATCAAGGCAGGAAATGTGTGCTGTCTCTACCTTGAGAAATGGATCCCGACTGCTAGTGTGTAATATTCTGTGCCGTTGGCATCAATCTCGCTTCCATAACGCTCCAATTGTGTTTCATTTTCTTCAACTTATTCTCACATTCTCCAGCTCCTCAAGCGGCATCGTGAAGCTGCCGGCCCGGCCCTACCCACACAGACCAGTCCACCTCCTCGTCTTCTGGGCTACAACCACCTGCTCTAGGAATACGCCCCGACTGCTGTTCCCTGCCAGTATCACATAAGACCCAGAGTCACTGCGCCAACAGTTGTCCATCTCGCTCCAGTAGCTCGTGGCTCGCAAAAAGTCGAGGCTTATCTCAGCAATGGCGCTTTCGCCAGCTTCGACCTGGACTTTGGCGAACCCTTTAAGCTCCTTAGTCGGTCGCGTCACGGTGTCGCCAGCTGTACCCGTCAGAGGTGTGGGCATGGATGGCCTCACGTAGATCTGTACAACCTCAGACCCAGAGCTTGAGCCAGTGTTTCGAACAGTCACACGTATTTTGAGGTTCGGGGCGTCGCTGCCTTTCGATGCATCGTTTGATTCGGAGATTGCAAGGTTAGAGAGGGCGAAGGACGTGTAAGAAAGCCCGTGGCCGAAAGCAAAGAGAGGATCAATGTCAAGAGTGTCGTACCATCGATAGCCAACATATATATCCTCGCTGTAGAGAACTCGGCCATTGTCAGACCGGAAGCTCAAGGCGCTGGGGTTGTCTGCTAGTCGTCGGGGCATAGTAAGGGGCAGCTTGCCAGCCTGTTTGGACAATCTCAGCCGTTAATCGTGATTTTCAGAGAAACCGATCGCACGGATGGGTTACTTACCGGGTTCACAACGCCAAAGAGAATATCGGCTATACCGTTGCCCCCCTCGTTGCCTCCGAACCAAGCCTGCATAACAGCTCCAGCACTCTCGATCCAGGGCATAGAAACCGGCGTGCCGCTCTGGATGATGACTGCTGTATTGGGATTCGCCTGGACGACTGCCGCGATTAGATCATCGGTTCCTGGAGGCAGAGCCATGTGTGAACGATCCTGCCCCTCGCATTCCCATTCTCCACTCAGCCCTGCACAGACGACTACCTGGTCAACGGACCTAGCCAGGTCAACAGCTTTCTGGAGGCTGCAGCCGTGTCGAGTCGGGGACAGCCGCTGAAACGGAGGCCGCCCTGACCAAAGTCTACCACGCCCG